TTTATTACAAATCAAAAATTTTATGTCATAAATTATTTTACAATAACAATTCGAAAATTTTATAGGTCACAGTTTGTTTATCGATCACAAATCAAAAAAATTATAAGTCACGATTTATTTATTGGTCACAAATTAGAGATTTTTGAAGTCACGACTTATTATGCAGTCATAAATTATCAACTTATCGGTCACAAATTAACAATTTCTTATGTTATACGTTATTTCTTGGTCACAATTTATATTTTTAATTGGTCACATATTGTTTATTGATCACAGATTAACCAATTTAATAGTTACAGTCAACCAAATAATTTGTAACTACCACCAACACTTGTGACCACCATCTCACCACCATCGTCGCCGCTAAAACCACCACCAACAACTCTCGACAATTGGACAGTTGGTCACGATCCCCCAAATAATGGCTCACAAACACTTTCTTATTATATTGCCACCACAATCGCAACCCGCAAGCACCATACCACCAACACCGGCACCGTTACCACCATCGTCATCACAACCGCCACACCACCACTACCTAAATACTACCACGACGCTGCACCTTCGCCCCCAACTACACTAAACAAATCAAATGAAAAAAAAAATTCAAAAACTTAAGCACCATTGAGGATTGTACCACCACCGGTCCACCACCCATCGTTACCTGAAACCATCACCCCCCGCCACAACCATAAACTACCACAAAAACCACCTCTTGTGACCACCGCTAGCACCACTATCCCCACAACCGTCGGAACATCAGCCCCACCATAACCACAGTCAATACAACTCAAACACATAACACTCATGCCACCACCGCCGCACACACCACCACACCAACGCACATAAACGTCATCGCTACACACATACCACCCCAACCATCACAGATCGCGATGACTGTTCCTTCGATTGTGAGATCTCCTCAGATCGCCACTAGTTCGTCGATGGTACAATGGAGTAGCTCCTCCATTGGTCGGCGAAGCTGCAACGGAGTAGCTCTCTATCATCGATTCTCCATCGCTGGTTGCCGGCAATGTTGAGAGAGAGGGAGAGAGAGAGAGAGAGAGTTGGGCGTAGGGGGAAATGAAAGTGGAATAATAATTAGGATATGAAATTATTATTTATTAGATTAATTTTTAAATATATTAATTAATTAAAAAATTTTAATTTGTGAAATATTAAACATTACATCTTATTTATGAAATGGAGATTTTTAATATATTAGGATATGTAATTTCCACTTATAAATTTGTATAAGCTTTGTATATACAAAAGCCCGTTAATAACCAAAGCCCATAAAAAGCCCGGTCCGTACTCCACGCGTTTCGTGCACAGATCCGTGTCTCCGTCTATAAATAGACCTCATAGTCCTCAATTCTCAATTTCCGTGGCCGACTCTCCTCTTTCAAAGGGGAAGACAATCGGAGATTTCTGATTCTAACCATTTCTCACTCTCTGATCAACTCAATAGTTAAATAAAAACTAAGAAAAACAAAAAATAAGCTGAAATCGATCTCGAACTTGAACAAGCACTTCTGCTGCAGCTGTTTTTAGTACTTTGATTGGATTCAAGAACGTAGTTCTAAATATTCTGTTATTATGGATATACGCTTCCCTTATTCGCCGGCGGAGGTGGCCAAGGTCCGAGTCGTCCAATTTGGTATCCTCAGTCCTGATGAAATTGTAAGTCCCCAATTCTCTAGGGTTTTTCTTCAACTTCCCCAAAATATGTTTGGCATTAATTTTTGATTATTTGGTTTTGGCAGAGGCAAATGTCCGTGGTTCACATAGAGCATAGTGAGACAACGGAGAGAGGTAAGCCTAAGCCGGCGGGATTGAGTGACCCTCGACTTGGGACCATTGATCGGAAGATGAAGTGCGAAACATGTATGGCAAACATGGCAGAGTGCCCTGGTCACTTCGGTCACCTTGAGCTCGCGAAACCCATGTTTCATATTGGCTTCTTGAAGACCGTGCTCAGCATCATGCGTTGTGTTTGCTTCAATTGCTCGAAAATATTAGCTGATGAGGTATGTGTGTCCTGGTTATTTTGAATTTGATGAATTGATTAGAGATTGATTGTGGACTCGATTAAGCCCCTGTTTGGTTTAGCTAAAAATTAGATTTTTTGTAGATTTTGATAAAAGTTGATGAAATGCTTGGTTGAAAAGTTGATGAAAGTTGGGGGTTATGAAATATGTAGGTGAAAAATATGTTCGAGGAAAAATGAGTTTTAGAAAATGGGAGCTAAGTATGGGCTAAGTAATGCTATTAAAGCGTGTGAATTTTTTGTTGTGCAACTTTGATGATACGCGCAAGGTTTGTGAATTATGATTCTTATTATAAGATCATTTCAAATTGTATGATTTGATTACTGATCTGAGATTGATTGTAAACTCATCAAGTAACACTATTGGAGCGTGCGAATTTTTGGTTATAGAGCTCTCATGTAAAAGCAAAGAAAATCTGAAGAAATTTCTTTATTGGGATAGGAGCTGACACATTCAATCAATTGGGTTATCAGCCCTATACACGGACCTTTCTTTTGCATAAACAGTTGTCTAATATAGAACTTGTTACATATATTATACACCTCACAGATATCTATCAGCTGGTATATATCTGGTGGAAGGAGAGAAAATATTATAGAAGTGGGTGCAATAATAAGTTAAAAAAGAATCTCGGTGCTGATCTCTCATAGATTTTATGGAGAAGGCTTGTGAATTATGCTCTCTTTATGAAAGTGGTTGACAGTGACAGCAGGTCCATTATTTGTATTTAATACAACATCCAATGCTATTCTCTATTGTAACTGGATCTTCGGGAATGCATCAAAAGTTGATCTAATATTCATAAATGTTCACTGTAGTTCTTCATGTTAAGATTACTGCTCATGTCCTTTTTTGAATGGAAAATTTTGGAGTCTTTAGTTGCCATGGAAACAATAATGGAATACACAAAAGTAAGTACTGGACTTCATTTAAAATTTAAACCAAGACTTCATTAAGGTATATATTGTACAACAAATGTTGTGTTGCCATTAATGATTTAGAAATAATAGTGTAATGACTAATGACCATATGTCTTGCAGGGACTCGATCCTAATTTTGATCTAAGAAACTAATTGTTCTTACTTGGTCTTGTCACGTACCATTTAGACAGTCAACCTGCAATCCTATTACTCTCACAATCTTCTTATTCCTTTTCGAGGTCATAAACTTCTAGTTGTTCACTCCTCTCTCTATATGCACTAATGACCTGTTAGCTCTTCGTCCTGCTGCTGCACTATCAATCTACAGAGCCGATCTGCCTAATAAACTGATCTTTTCTTTCATCCAGCTGCTGCACTATCAATCTACAAAGCCAGTCTGCCCAGATAAGATAATTTCTTTCGTTAATACCTATTGTTAATCAATGACCCCTGCGAGAATATTGGTCCCCCATTTTAATTTCAAATGAGGAAGAAAGAGAGAATTTGTTTGTGGACATGTGATGGGCAGAAGAGTTCTGAAATTAAGCTATTTGAGAGGGTAAATAATCGTTAGATAAAAGTTGTGACGTATTGTCCCCTGAATTGTTTGTATGACCATTTAGAGTCATTGATGGCAATTGTTTACTGAAGAGAGCTGAAGGATTGGATCTTTCCAAGTTCCTTGTTTGAATCTATATCTTGCCGGGATTCACACACTGAAGGAAGAGGAGGAACTTCCATTTTCTTAACAAGAATGGTGAATAATAAATAATGATTGTATGCGACTTATGTAAGGAGTTAAGACAACTATTTCTGTTGAGACTAACGTTGTTCATTTAGTCTTAGAGTCGTATGATGCAACTTACCAGACAACCATTTGTATTTAGGTATCATGAATGCCAATTACTCTTTTAAAATCTAGTTTTATTCATAAACAAATCCAGAGTAGTTAAATTCTTGTCAAGGTGTTCCTTGTTATGGATATCGCTAGAATTATGCTTCTGCAGTTGTGTGGCTTCCAGTAAGAACCTTTGTGCTTCCCCAGATGCCTTGATTCATGTAATAGTTTCCTAAAAGAAAGATATTTCAACTTCACAGGCACTGACATGTTGTATTATATTTATAGTTGTGGTTTTTTATCTTTTTGCAGGATGAACCAAAGTTCAAACAAGCTATGAGAATAAGAAACCCTAAAAATAGACTCAGAAAGATATTAGATGCCTGCAAAAATAAAACTAAATGTGAAGGCGGTGATGAGATCGATGTACGAGGGCAAGATTCTGATGAACCAATTAAGAAGAAAAGGAGTGGCTGCGGTGCTCAGCAGCCGAAAATTTCTATTGATGGTATGAAGATGATTGCCGAGTACAAGCTTCAAAAGAAGAGATCTGATGACCAGGAACAACTGCCAGAACCTGTTGAGCGAAAACAGCAACTTACTGCCGAAAAGGTTATCTTATTGTGCATGCAAAATGCCATTTGGGAGAATATGTTGGTCTCTCATGCTTTCAGTCTGGGTTTCGTTTGTCATGATGCTAATGAAGAGTAATTTTTAATGGCTTTTGTTTCCAGGTTCTTAGTGTCCTGAAGAGAATAAGTGATGATGATTGTCAATTGTTAGGTTTGAATCCAATATATGCACGCCCCGACTGGCTGATTCTTCAAGTTCTTCCTGTACCTCCTCCTCCTGTTAGACCTTCTGTGATGATGGATACTTCTTCAAGGAGTGAGGCGAGCTTCTTCTTAAACTCTTTTATGTTTTTATCTCTATAGCAATTTTTGGTTTCCCTTGGTTGCCAGGTTGCATTCCACAAAATGATGAGATGATGCATAAATTTATGCTTCTGGGTTAAGTGAGATTCTTATCACTTGAACTGTTAGTGCAGGATGATTTAACTCATCAGCTAGCCATGATTGTTAGGCATAATGAGAACCTGAAGAGGCAAGAGCGAAATGGGGCTCCTGCACACATCATTTCAGAGTTTGCACAATTGTTGCAGTTTCATATAGCTACATATTTCGATAATGACCTGCCAGGGCAGCCAAGGGTATGGTTATCTTCTTCCCTTTCTTGTTCATACACCATACGACCTGCTTGATTGCCTTTTATGTAATTAGTGAGAGTACATTGGTATTCTGTAGGCCACTCAAAGATCTGGTCGACCAATCAAATCAATATGTAGCAGACTGAAGGCAAAAGAAGGTCGGATCAGAGGTAACTTGATGGGTAAACGAGTGGATTTTTCAGCTCGGACAGTGATCACACCTGATCCGACTATTAACATTGATGAACTGGGAGTACCATGGAGTATTGCGCTAAATCTCACATATCCAGAAACTGTCACTCCATATAACATCGAAAGGTTTCCTTGTTTCATTTTGTTCTTTTGATTGTCTATCTTCCTGTATATTGGTTTACTCACTCATAGTAACTTGGCCTTGAATATAGGTTGAAAGAGCTTGTGGAATATGGGCCTCATCCTCCTCCAGGTAAAACTGGTGCGAAGTATATAATTAGAGATGATGGACAAAGGCTTGATCTACGGTACTTGAAGAAAAGCAGCGATCAACATCTAGAACTTGGATATAAGGTGATCATTTTTATCTGTATTAGCAACAATGATCTAGGTTCAGATTTTTCAGTACTTATGCCTACATTTAACGTCATTAATGCAGGTGGAGCGGCATTTGAATGATGGGGACTTTGTCCTGTTCAATAGGCAACCAAGTCTTCACAAAATGTCCATTATGGGGCATAGAATCAAGATCATGCCTTACTCAACCTTCCGCCTAAACTTGTCCGTTACTTCGCCCTACAATGCTGATTTTGATGGGGATGAAATGAACATGCACGTTCCCCAGTCATTTGAAACTAGAGCGGAAGTACTTGAACTGATGTTGGTTCCTAAATGCATTGTGTCACCTCAATCAAATCGACCTGTGATGGGGATTGTCCAAGATACACTTTTAGGGTGCCGCAAAATTACCAAAAGAGATACATTTATCGAGAAAGTAATTATGTTGTATTTTGTTGCTTGTTAATTTACTTTGTTTTCCCCTATTGGGGTCTGAACCTCTTGTATTAATCTTATACAGGATGTTTTCATGAACATTTTAATGTGGTGGGAGGATTTTGATGGCAAAGTACCGGCTCCAGCAATTTTGAAACCTAGGCCTCTTTGGACTGGGAAACAAGTTTTTAATCTAATAATTCCAAGACAGATAAATCTCTTGAGATATGCAGCCTGGCATCAGGAATCTGAAAAAGGATTCATAACTCCTGGGGACACTCAAGTTCGAATAGAGAAAGGAGAGTTACTTTCTGGTACCTTATGCAAGAAGACACTTGGAACTTCGACTGGAAGTCTTATACATGTTATTTGGTATGTTTTTCAGCACATCACGATTTTCAAAATGTAAATGCTAAAGCTGTTGGGCATGTTTGATTTCTACTCTGTAAATACAGCAAAAATTGTTTTTATTTAATATATTTTCACTTTATAATGAATGCTCTCAAGTTCCTATTGAACAGATTCCCAGCTTTGATTCAGTGATTTCTGGTGTTACATATTAGTTATTCTATCATAATCATACATCATTAATTGATTGTATTGCTGAAATTACATTGCAGGAGTTTTATATATGAAAGCATATAGATGCTTTTCCAGGTATCAGATAGACAGATACACTGAACCTTTGACTTTAGGACTTTTGGACTCTGATTGAATGCATCTAAAATGGATGGATATGCATTCATGATTTGCATGAGGACATACAGCTTATATATTGGAACTTGGGATACATATCTCTCACAAACACAATTATCGTGTTGATACCGGTATTATGTGGTACATTCATGTATTGTAGCTGAAAAATAGTTGTCAGCTAATCACGGCGAACCCCTACTGCCAAAAATGTTTATAACATTCATGTTACATAGCTGAACTTTGGAGACAACTAGTTAAATGTGCTTCTTGTGTTCGTATGAAATGTTGCTGATGCATACAGGGAGGAGGTTGGTCCAGATGCTGCTCGGAAGTTTCTGGGACATACACAGTGGCTTGTCAATTATTGGCTTTTGCAGAATGCTTTTAGCATTGGAATTGGAGATACAATTGCTGATGCTGCAACAATGGAGAAAATTAATGAAACCATTTCAAATGCAAAGAATGAGGTGAAGGAACTTATCAGGTCTGCTCAAGAAAAGCAGTTGGAGGCTGAACCTGGTCGAACAATGATGGAATCATTTGAAAACAGAGTGAATCAGGTATGTAAAAAGAGTTTTTTTTTTTTTTTTTTGTCTGTGATTTATTAATCGTGACATGTTCTTTGTCCCCTTAGGTGTTGAATAAGGCCCGTGATGATGCTGGAAGCAGTGCACAGAAGAGCTTGTCGGAAAGTAACAACCTCAAGGCTATGGTCACTGCGGGATCCAAGGGAAGTTTCATCAACATATCACAAATGACTGCTTGTGTGGGGCAACAGAATGTTGAAGGTAAACGAATTCCTTTTGGATTCATAGACCGGACATTGCCCCACTTCACTAAAGATGATTATGGTCCAGAAAGTCGTGGTTTTGTGGAGAACTCGTATTTAAGAGGGTTGACCCCCCAAGAGTTCTTCTTCCATGCTATGGGTGGTAGGGAAGGTCTAATAGATACTGCAGTGAAGACTTCTGAGACTGGATACATTCAGAGGCGATTGGTTAAGGCCATGGAAGATATTATGGTTAAGTATGATGGGACTGTGAGGAACTCTTTGGGGGATGTTATTCAGTTTCTTTACGGTGAAGATGGCATGGATGCTGTCTGGATTGAATCACAGCCACTGGAATCTTTGAAATTGAAAAAATCAGGTTTCAATAACATGTATAGATATGAGATTGATGATCCAGATTGGAATCCTAGTTACATGTTGCCTGAAGCTGTTGAAGATCTAAAAACAATCCGTGAGATTCGCAGTGTCTTTGATGCAGAGGTTCAGAAACTTGAAGTGGATAGATACCAACTTGCAACAGAGATTGCGACAACGGGTGACAACTCGTGGCCCCTGCCTGTTAATATCAAGAGGCTTGTGTTAAATGCGCAAAAGACCTTTAAAGTTGACTTCCGAAGGCCTTCTGATATGCACCCAATGGAGAT